CTCAACTGGCTGCTCGCGCAGCTAGTCTTCATGCTGAGCGAGAAGCCAAACAACTAGAATTCTCCAAAAAACAAGAAATATGCAAGCTTGAAGCTGAAGAAGCTGCCCGTCGTGCTCAGTGCGAGGCGGACGAAAAGATAAGACGGATAAGAAATGAGGCGGAACTCACGAGATGTCGTCAGGAGTTGGAAGATCGACAAATTATGACAGAGATCATAAAAACTGAAGCAGAGATGAATGCTTTAGAAGGTGCACCCAGTCGGTCGGACAATGGAGACCTGATAAATAAGTACATGTACACTCAGGAGGACAGGGTGCGTGATATCAACAGAAACCCTTTAGAGAATCGCACAATAAATCAGAGACCTGCCGAAACTCGTCAAAGTGAACGTGATCTCACAGGTCTTGTTCAGACATTGACAGACTCTGTAAATCGAAACAGATTACCCGCTCCTGAGCCACCAGTCTTTTCTGGAGAAGTCTTACAGTATCCGGCGTGGAAGGCTGCGTTTGCTGCTCTCATAGACTCAAAGAACATACCACCTTCGGAACGCATCCACTACCTGAAAGGATACCTCAGTGGAGAGGCTAAAGAAACCGTAGAAGGAATGTTCTATTTTGACACAGAAGAAGCTTACGCAAGCGCTAGGACCGTTCTGGATGAGAGATATGGCAATAAATTCCTGGTATCTGAAGCCTTCAGGACCAAGCTCAGTTCATGGCCAAAGATTAATGGAGGTGACGGAAAGGGACTGAGGAAATTAGCAGACTTCTTGCGGCAGTGCTCATTAGCGATGGACCACATCTCTACGTTGAAGATCTTGGATGACTGCCATGAAAACCAAAGGATTTTGTGCAAGCTGCCTGATTGGCTGACTCGTAGATGGGGCAGAATAGTTGCTACGTCGAAAGACACATACCCTTCCTTCAAAGACTTCGCCAGCTTTGTAGCGCGTGAAGCGGACATAGCATGTAACCCCATCATGTCTCAGAATTTTGGCAGTAAAGAATTTCAGAAGAAACTGCCTGAGAAATCAACAAGGCGACCTGCAAGGGTTAGTGTGTTGGCTAGCGAAGCAACGAAACCAGCAGAAGTGAAACTTTGCATATTCTGCGACAAACCCAATCATAATGTGGACAATTGCCGAGCATTCGGAGGCAAGACTCCAAGTGAGAGACGAGAATTCTTAATGAAGAATGGACTCTGCTTTGGCTGTCTGAGACAGGGACACCTTTCTAAGAAATGTCCCAAGAGGAGTAACTGCGGAAAGTGTCAGAACAAGCATCCCACCATCCTACATGGGGATTATGAAGCTCTCCACCCCC